TGTGTGTGTGTGTGTGTGTGTGTGTGTGTGTGTGTGCAGTATTATATGTATAAACAAATATTCATACATACATACATATATCTATATTCATACACAGATATATCTATGTATATAGATATATGTGTGTGTGTATATATGTATATAAACATGAACTTGTATATATATATATATATATATATATATATATATATATATATAATATATATATGTATATAATATATATATATATGTTATATATACATATATACATTTGAATATATATATATATATATATATATATATATATATATATATATATATATATATAAATATATATTATATAATATATATATATAATAATATATATATATATATATATGTATATATATATATATATATATATATATATACATATATATATATATATATATATATATATATATATATAATATATATATATATATTATATACATATATAATATTTAATTTCATATGTTACAATGCTTATTCTGTTTACAGTTAGACCTAAATTACCCATGTGCGCAAAGAATGATCGGGTTAACCGTCGACTGGGAACTGAATCCAGGTCAGCAAGATTGCTAGACGAAAACGTTACCGCTGTATCACATACACATACACAATAAGAGAAAGAGAAAGAGAGAGAGAGAGAGAGAGAGAGAGAGAGAGAGAGAGAGAGAGAGAGAGAGAGAGAGAAGAGAGAGAGAGAGAGAGAGAGAGAGAGAGAGAGAGAGAGAGAGGGGAGGGGAGGGGAGAGGAATATGTGATAGACAATTATAGAAATAGAAAATCGGTACACGGGTCAGAAAATCTAAAAATAATAAATATATGAAGAAATAAATATAAAAAATCCAGGTGGAAATTCCTTACAACTGAAGATCGGTATCAGATGACTCAAGAGCTTACATGGTCCGGCGTCTATTCCCTGCGGAACAAAACCGTAGATCACAGTGCCCGGATTAAGTAGGTCGGTTGGTCAGTAAACACTACACTGAAGCTCGATTCCCTTTGCAATTGACTCCAAAAACATATATCCTCTCCTCCAACCCGCGACACCCTCCCCTGCATATGAGGAGAGGGCAACTCCCGTCCGTCAGGCCGCGTCCTCACAGGCAGCGAGCGCGGGCCAACGTGTTTACTCTGTGGAAGCACAAGTCTTAAGAATAAATATCCCAAGGTTGTTGATGGAAACTTCACTTAACGATGACGCTCCCGCCCCCGCACGCCCGCTCTCCTGCCAGTGTGGGCAATCACACGGAAGAACGACAGATTAACACACAAGCAAGTAAATAAGCAAATAGGTAAGAAGAGAAATAGATAAATGAACGAATAGATTAGTGAATTTACATCGAGAGAAAGAGAGCGACCAGAAGATGGCGGCGGTGGCGAGGGAGGGAAGGAGACGTGAGGCCCAGGTTCAGGCAGGAAGAAGGGTAAACCGGAAGTATCGGCGCGAGTGTCGACCTGAAATTCTGACGGAGGAGAAGGAAGATGGCAAAGATCTGTGGATGGAAGAGAGAACATGAGAAAGCGCTGAAGGCTGCATGACACGCCAAAGTCAAAAGACAACGAAAGAGAGGGAAAGGCGCAGATGGGAATCAATTATGCTCCTAATTCATGTTTCAGTTTCTTACATTAATGGCACTCATTTGAAGTAAAAGAAAACAAACATTTGATTTGAATATTCGTAAAGATAGGAAACAGCGAATACAACTGCTGTTTACACATACAACCTGCATCAAACAGAAGTATTTAGGACACACACCGAGAGGCCTAATCGCCTCAACGTTCTAATACGGTCAGCGTGCAGCAGCTGAGCGAAAGAAATTTGCACTACGTCAATAAAACATTCTTGAAGCTTCATGCCTTCAGAGGCAACATCTCAAAACAAGTGGAAAAGAGAAACGCAGCCCACACGAGCCGCTGACCGGCAGAGCCTTTGCGGAAATGCCCTCGTGATAGGGGCCGGGATGGGAAGAGGCATCAAAGGCCCGCGCTTCCAGCTACGATTGGGAATTGGAGATACAAAGGCGGGCTTCCTCGCAGAGAGGAGGACTGGGCAAGGGATTGTGAGCAGGCAACGCAACGAGATGAGAAGAGAGAAAAAAATTCCACAAGAGCAGACGGGAATTAATGCAAGACGAATTGTCGCTTATCGAGGCCAGGATGCCTAATGCAAGCGAAGTCGACGTGAGATCCCGGCGGCGGCGTCTGCACCGCCCATAAGCCTAAAAGGTTCTGTTGCCACCTTGATCGGGCTGAGGTCGCGGACCAAGGGACAGCAGTAACCGCGGGCTCAGCTCGGTCTACGGCGGACTGACCCGGCTCGAGGAAGAACGTCGGCGCAGGGCGACGGTCGTTCGGATGAGTGGACTGACCCGTTAGGGGACACAGGGCGGCCCACTGGGGGAGGGGGGAGCTGGCTGGCTGCATGGAATACAAGGTGGGGTTTCTGTGCGGCTGTAATATGGCGGTCAGGAAGTGTGGTATATAGGGAGAGACA